TCCAGCTTAGAAGGTCTTTTAATGGACTGAATGCGATTCTGTCAATGAGAAATGGAGAACACACTCTTGACCTCAATGGACGTTCTCATCCAGATTGAGGAGACTTGGCCTGAACATCATCAGTCATCCAACAGGATTCTATATGTGAAAAGCTGTGTTAATAAGTAGATATTTTAACTTCTAACATCTAGCCTCTTAGCCCCATTGCATTGCAACACTAGTTTGATTTTATAGGCAATGAATTCCTGTTTTCAGAACCACATTTTGTGGGACATTTCGTACCAATAGGCGACCGTGCTGTTGCCTGCTGTTGCAACCTGAATTGGAACGCCATTTCTATGTCGGATAGGGAAGTTCAATTCAATTAAGAAACTAAGCATTCTCTTCAATTAACTTGACCGAAGCCATTTGAAACCGGTACAGTTCGACATTACGCTACCAGTGCATACTAACAAGCATGTTTTAGGCAGTAAATAATCATAATAATTACGAGCATTGAAGTAAAGAAATAATAATTGGTTAAGAATTCATTTGATTATTTGAGAATATGTCCCAAACTAATGGATGCACTTTGTATCTTTGATGTCTCCCAAATGTAATCCAATATTCCTATAGTTAAGGAGTAGATAGTAATAAATTTCAGATAAACTCAATTATGAGAATTAGTATACTAGCATTCATGAATAGTACATATCTCATCTCATTTGATGGATTAAATGAACAGACATTTATTTCACGATTATACTTGATTTTAGCACACACAAGAATGAATATCCTGCTCAGAGGTATACCTAATAAGAAGGTTCTAGGGACAAAATTATTTACAATAACTATGAATGTTTGCTTATTTCTAAGCCAGCACCCTACAATTAGTCTAAATAAGCATTATGTACTTAATTATAGTAGAGATTAACAAGGAAGATTACCTTTTAGGTAGGAAAAAACTGATTTTCTACTATTCCTTAAGTGATCTTGTCTGACTCGAATTTCTATTTCGAAGTAAAGGTTAGCGGGATTTCGTAAAATGATCTCACTGGAAACCGAAGCGGAGTGGAAAAGCATATTTTACGAAAAAGCGCATTAATATATAAAACCAAGGCGAAATGTTCACAGTCGAACATATTTTCTCTCGTTTTCGCATATTGGTGCATATTGTTTCTCGCTCTGAAGCTATTGCATGACAGATGTAAGTTTACAACGGATTTATCAGGGTCGTAGGACAATGCGCGTGGACTCAAACCGTGGATGTGTGGAGCAAAAGATTGACCATTCAGCAGCTCGTAGCTGCAAGCTAAACTTTTACTAACACCAATGTCTTCCTTAGCATCATGAGCATAGTTGTTATGACAGTGGTACTATGTGCTTTGAACAACTTCATCACATGACAATCGCAAATTCAACATTGAGACTTATATCACTCAACTTCCAGCTCAGGCCTATTGTGAAATAAGTCTCTGCTCCCTTTTGGAGGAGGTTTATATACGATATGAGGAAATTGACAGAATTCAGTCTATCCATCTTTCGGTAACTAATTTCAGGTTGTCATAAAATAAAATAAATTTGCCTAGGTCCTGTAAGTGATTGGCGACTGGGAGCTTCTGAGGCTATGAATGACGTGCTCCTTCCTTCAATCCATCTCTTTATCTACGAATATTTGAAATTCCAGCTTGTCTATTGTTAGGACTGAAACCTATTTATACATCTTTTGTACCGTTTATCTAATAGGAAATCTCTATAACAAATTTAATTCTGTTCACAATAACATTGTATTTACCAAGAAACAGGAGAATTTGAGTAAAAACTGTCACCTTAGGTGAGCAACTAAAAGTGTCTGTAAGGCCAATCATAATCAAAAGCCTTTCATACATTTATACATTCTTATCGATAATACTTGCTTGGAGTGGTACATGGACCCCTTCAATTCAACCAGCTTTGTCTATCTATGGCTGATTCATTAACAGTAGACGCCTCTAATGCCACTCCCCACTGTTTGCTTTCCTTATGCTTGGCCCATGAGAACATATCACCCTAAAAGCCCAGCTCTCGCAATCTAAACACATGCTGAGGCTCAAACACATGCAGGAGTCTGCACAGGAAAACTCTAACACATAAACACACTGTATTACTGGCAGATAATCCATAGTTATACGTATCTATCGAATTAGGCCTCCAACCTGATGCGATTAAGTTGCAATCTTAGCCTAACCTACCCATATCAAGTAGTATCACCATCAGCATCGAATGAGCCCGGAAACATGGTCTTGCTTTATCTCGCCACCCCTTTTATTTCATTCTCTTTTGACTCTCGTCTTATCCCCCTCTTTGAGCTACTTTGCTCTTGGCTCCCTTCCATTCTAGCATGACCTTCTCTTTGACGCAGACAGCAGCTAGCATGAAGAGTGTGTTCTTTCTTAAAGTCCTTAGGCTGTCCTATACAGTTTTATGTGCATGTACGAGGTTCCATCGCCTATTGTCTTAATCCCCCCATGCCTCATTCTCTTCCCGTCTCTTCACTGTCCTTCCTTCTATCATCACTTTGTCCCCTTTTGTGCTCTGTTCGAGATCGCAGCCACCTTTGTCTCGATTAATAGCGTGTGCGCCAGAAATCTGCAGGAAATGTGGAACGTCTGCCCATACATTCGATTCATTGGGCTTATCGAATATGCTTTCCAGTTCAGCCCTATTCATACGGCAAGTTTCGATGTGACAGGGTGAAAACACATGCTCCTATAAATCCTATAATCCGGCATATGGTCGCACCATGCATGACTGCTGTTTGGTTATCCTTTATGAAAATATGAGCCTGGCCTATAGACTGTCTATGCTCTTGTCGTTCGCTATGCTCGTTTCCGTGCGACTGTCTTTGCTGTTGTTCTCACCCTCTCTTTTAGTGTTTGCTCCTCCACCTTCAACTGGTTATTAGTCGGGGAAATAAAGGCAAAGCATGGAAGCTGTTACCCGTAACACTCTCAGTATTAGTAATAAAGATGATGCTAATGTCAATAGTAATAAGGTTAATGGGACGGTTGAGTGGGATAGGAGTAACCATAGTGCCATAGGCAATAGAGGTAATGGTGATAAAGCGTTGGCAACAATAGATGAATTGGTGGTTGTGCTCATGTTGGCAGCAGAAGTTTGGCGTCTTTCGTCTCATTAATGGAGAACAATGACGAGGATGGCAATTGTAATGGCGCTATTGGTAGAGTTATTGGTAACAATAATGATACTAATGATGCTGATGAAGACAATGGTCATGCCGATGTTTACACTCTTGATGGCAGTGGTAATCTGTTAGGTCTACTTACTCGAGTTAAGCATGGCCACATGACTGAAATAAAACCTTTAAACAGAGTGCGGCGATATTTTCCAATGTCCCTCTGTCCGAGTAGGCATGTCGCATGGGAGGATTTGTAGATATGTCCCAGAGGAAATGTTGCGAAATTAGTTGCAAGTCATTAATGGCCTGGTTGATCAGAGCATAACTGGCATTGGCAACCTCACCATTGGCCTCTTTCATGTATCATCTTCATTTTAAAGTTAATGTAAAACCTTATCTCAATTATAAATAGCCTCGTTATAATTTTGTTTTGTTTCCCAGTGTGTGTTGTACGCGTATGCCTACCTGCGGCTACTGGTTGTGATCAAGAATGGATAATGACACAGATACTTGATGCACGTTTCCCTTCTTACATCTCACGCATAAGCACAATTTTAGCATTTGCCAACAATTTATCGTAAGCATCTGATCACATACAAGTTCAGATGTATCAAATCGTTTGCCTTGAATTGGGTTCATCTACTCTTGGGAGGGCAGATATTTTTCTCTTGGTCTACAATAGCTTAACTCACAACAATTAAAAACGGAAAACATAACTAATTCAAGTTATCCATTCTAGAATGCCTATAGGTCTGTACCGGTATATATGTATATATTTATATGGAGCATAGTGCCTTAGTTTGCGTTATATTTACCTATAGAAACTTGCGTGTGTGTGCATTGCTGTGCACGTAGTGGTACAAAACCAACAATGCTGGCTCCAACCAATTAGATAAGATGTATGAGATGCAATTAACATATTTCCTTTATAATGACAGGCGGACTGGCAGTTAAGTTTTCCCATAATGATGGGCAAACTTTACGTTTCCATTGAATTTCACATAGATTTGCTTTCCCAAAAGATAGCCTCGAAGAGCTGCCTCAAAACTAAAAATAATTATACCAGATTGTAACACCTGCCCTAGGCCAGCACGGTTTAAAGATCCCTTTATTTAACTATCCTTCTGATTGCGTAATGTATGATTGAATAAATGTGCTATTTTGAATGAAATCATGCATTAAAAAGTATACGCGTTCTGGTCACTCTGGGTCGCGTAGGGGATGAAGGACCGATAGTTGCATTTTCTCACAATGATTTAATTAGACCTCGCGTTTTCACTTAATTTCATACAGACTTACTTTGGAAAAGGTATTCTCATACAGATTACACTAAAATTCCAACTTCGTCTCGGTCGCGTCAACAACCTCAGGATTGGTTTGGAGAGTAATATTGAAAATTTCTTATGTAACCTGCGATCCGGTTTTGGATCCTGCTGGTGAGACCTAGGCGAGGTCAAAACTGCAGTTTATCGTTGATGAGAACAC